ACTCACTGGAGCTTGGAATGATTAGCATCAARCTTTTATCAAAATTCTTATTTTCGACTGGTTTTCACACGAAGAAAATTGTCAGGTATTTTGTCAGTATTTTCATCGTTCATTTGTTTATTGCTTTTCCCATTTGTTCCGTCAATTATCCATTGTTTCGTTCATTTAATACATTTAATCCATCATTTTCATGATCATTGTGAATTGATTCTTACGAAGAGTAAACGTCCAGTGTTCCCACTTTCTATATTCCCACTGATCTGTATTCCCATTTTTGCCGATTAATTCAGTTCTATATTCCCATTGACCTGTATTCCTATTTTTCCTCGATTRATYTGTGTATTCCCACTGACCTGTGKTGRTATTYCATAGGGGTCCAGCTAATGAGTGGTACGATGCTGTATGTATTCTACTCCGATCAGACGCATCTATTCGACGCTGGTTTGGTGAGCTTTTATTTGAACACCCAGAACGATTTAGCGAATATTTGCTAGAAAGTCCTACCGCTGAGGTAAATATGTTGYAAGATTACCATGAATTACAATTTGTACATATCTATTGTCAAATTTCAACTTATTTTTTATTAGTAAAAAGATCGATTAAGTTATCKTTATGTTGGTTCATAATAGGTTCGAAGTGCTTTTGCCAAGATTCTAGTCTTCCTRTCCCACCATTCATTGCAAGATGGGCCGTGTGGACCGTTACCAGGGATACCTGAAGCTAAAGGTATAMAAGTCGTACCTTTAACGTCGATAGGTTGAAGGAAATATAGTAATGGGTGTGTGTGGTTGTTTTAGGAGGTCTCAGTGATAACATCCTATCTGCTGTATTAAGTCTGCTCAAGAAAGAAGTACCTGAACACGGTCGACATGTTCAGCAGTATTTTCAGTTTTTTCTGATGTACGCTGGCCTTGGAATGCAAGAGGTGCGTACCCTTTAATGCTATACATATGACAAAAACTTGACTGACTGACTTCAACGAATAATTGACTGATTAATTGATGGATTGATTAATTGATTGATTAATTGAATGATTGATTAATTGAATGAATAATTGATTGATTGAATGATTAATTGATTGATTGATTAATTGAATGATTGATTAATTGAATGAATATTTGATTGATTGAATGATTGACTGACTGATTGATTGGTTAATTGATTGATTGGTTGGTTCATTGATTGATCGATTGATTGATCGATTGATTTTTGCTTTGTCTGCTTCTAGAAATTACAACTTCTAAAGCTTGGTGTCCCAGCCACGTTCATGCTTGTTGCAATGGACGAGGGACCAGGCCCTCCCATTCGTTATGCTGAGTTTGGCAAACTGTACGCCGTCGTCTCGCAGCTGATACGTAGTTGTGACGTATCACATCGAACGCAGAACTCTATGGTAGGTTATCACCACAGGTATTCCGTTCCCACATTACAAGGTAAATCTCATTTTTGCTTTTCAGGGGAATACTCCATTTAATAATCCTTTTGGYGAGGGCCAACCATTGATGGAACTTCCTGCTGAAGTTAGTGACTTACTCTTCAATAAATTAGTGTAAGTAAATAATAATAATGATGATGGTYAACTTTATTTTTCTTTTATGATTTTCCTAGTATAATATCATGGTCAAAAATCCTAAAAGGTTTCTAAATTTTCTGATATACATAGATACCTAAAAAAACTGATAGAAGACACGACGTCATCAGAAGAAACGGTTCGCTTACTCAGGGTAAGTGCTTAAATCTAATGTATGTTTATTTTGAATTTTTTGATATGAATTATTGGTTTGTTTTGCAGTTTTGTTGCTGGGAAAACCCTCATTTCTCGCGAGCTGTTCTCAGTGACTTACTATGGCAGGTATGATTACCATCATCCTCTTATGATATTATCGTAATATTCAAAGTTATCATGTCATCGTAATCATAGTACTCTGGATCCTTTATTATCACATTGTTCGTTAGTCTTCATCATAATCACAATCGTAATCCCACGATTGTGACATTACAAAGCTAACTCCTTGCGTTCTTGTGTCAATACAGGTTGCGTATTCGTATACGTACGAGCTGAGGCCATACTTCGATTTACTGCTTCAAATGCTTCTTGTCAACGATTCCTGGCAGAGTCATCGCATCCACAACACACTTCGAGGTAAATTCCTCCTGAMCAGRAACTTCGTCGTCATTGTTATGATATTAGTTATCATGTTTATCTAAAATTGTTTTCTTTTGATTCGTATTATGTATCGCATGATTCCATGCGGTACTGACTTGCATCACTATTGTATTTTCAGTATTATAACGTGATCGTCGACATTATCATAGTCGTTATTATAATRAACTAGACGCCTTTCGTTCTTGATTTAGACTATATTGTGTAATCTTTCATATATTAGGTATTCCAGAAGACAAGGATGGCTTGTTTGAGATAATTCAACGGTCCAAAAACCATTATCAAAAGAGAGCATATCAATGTATGAAATTCATGGTGGCGCTGTTCAATAAGTAAGTTAAAACCTACCATCCTCGGAAACCCAGGGGTAATCTTCTCTCGATCGTTCCTTTCTGAGCGTGAGAATATGGAGGACCAGCGACAGGCGATTAAGACTGGGTTCCCGAGGATGAAAAACTTCAAGTKTAGTGTACAAACACTAAAACGTAATATCATAAGTCATGGAATGGAACGATTTAGCTGACTGGAATCTGTATTGATTGTGTATTTATAGTTTTACCTTTCTTATTATCTATTTATAACTTGTTATCCACGTAATTCAGCCCTTGGCTGCAAKGCGTATTTCTTTATATTAAACGATCTATCTACCTATCTCTATCACTCAGCATACATTACTATAGCGTCATTAAAAGCTAAGAGAAAGAGTGTCACCTGAGCGCAAATATCCCACATTATATCCAACATACGTATACATGGTCTATTGATGAGTTCAATTAAAAAGGATTGTAACTAAAATCTCGTTATCGCAGTTTTCAGTTTTCAAAAAAAAATCAATTGATTTGTGTTTCTTCTCAGTTGTCCTTTGGCACATCAGATTCTGTTGGGTTCGCCTGATTTGAGGAGAAAGTGGAATTGGGCAGTCGARTGGCTTGGTGACGAGTTAGACCGGGTGAGCATGATATGATTTTCTCATGATTGTTTTTCAGTTGAGAGTAGTAATGAGAAGTAATGTGCTACAAGAACGGTAAAATTATATCGACTTTAAGGAACCTATATAGCAAATTTCTTGTACGTTGCGCGGAAACTTTTCTTAAGAACAATCGACATTTGTCTTCTTTGTGAACATCACGTTAATACTTGTCATGTTTAAATTGCAGCGTCCATATCCGGGGGGTGCATCCTACTCGTACAATAATTGGTCACCTCCTGCACAGTCAAACGAGACATCCAATGGGTAAGTAGTAATCATCATTGTCATCATAATATCCATGAGACATCCAATGGGTAAGTAGTAATCATCATTGTCATCATAAGTGGTAGTCATCATTGTCATCATAACCTGATCATATCCAGTAACTTGAATCAACGTTCATTGTCAGGTATTTCTTGGAGCGTTCAAACAGTGCACGGTTAACGCTGACTAAAGCCTGTGAATTCTGTCCTGAAGAGGAGGTTTGTATTGACATTTATGACAAATACAACAAATAATAGTTTCCTGTAACTACGAAAGCACTCTAACATCACCCTAACCACAACTTTCCATAAGGCTTAGTCTGTAAATTCTTTTAGGAGGCGCCCGAGGAACCCGAACAAGAAAACGAAGTATCTCCTGATGAGTCTCCAGAGCCTCTGGATGAGCAAGAGGCACGACAGCAAGAAAATGACCAACCAGCTGATAACCCACCTCCATTTAATGGAGAAAACCCTCCTCCGGCTCCGACTAATGATTCTGTAGAAGAAGAGAAACCAAAGGAAGATTCGTCGGCCGAAAATCCACYAGAATAATCTGGATGCGTAGTTACTAGACCCGAAAATACATTAATAGAACGAAAAAAGATATTCCGAGGCTGATATTATGGACTTATTCAAGAGATTTGACAATTATAATTTATTTTATTTAACGTCACTTCACTGAAAAATTATTACGATGAGTCCAGGCCTGAAAAAAACATCTTATACATGAAAGGCTTAGAAAATCTACAATAGAATCAGCAGCATGGACARCTGTTCTTGAGATTCAAGGAGAGCGAGCCAAAGTGCAACACACCACATTTTCCCGAGATTGTTGCGTTACCATGTCACAGGACTCTTTTTCTGTGTATTGCGTGACGTGTTGCAAATCAGTCTCTAGCGAAACGTTTTGCCTGGCGGCGAGTTTGGTCATTTYCTCATCAAAATATGTTCACCTTCACAGAAAAATAAAAAAAGATTATAGATACTTTTCAAACTTTTTTTTTCGTAGTAAAATAAAATACATGTAAAACAAATATTTTCACCCACATTGGCTCCTGCCTTGTTTAATCAACGAGTCAGGGGGGAGACGCCCTCTTTAATATTGACGATTTATGTACGTTAGCTGATGTTTTAGACAAATTATGTGCAAAGACTAAAACGTATAAGTATAAGATGAATTCATTAAATGAAAGCGTGATTTTCGATGTCTTCTTGTGGGATGAACTTTGTATATCGATTTCCTTGACTCATCCGTTAATTTCCGGAATTGAAAGCAGTGGAGCATGGAGCGAGTGGGAGCGCTCTCCCTTGTGGTATCCCTTGAGAAACTACACCGACACTGGGGAGAAACGCACTGCGCACGCTCAAAAGATTTTTGATGCCGATGTTTTGAKTGTTGCAAAAGAGATATGTAAGGTTGCCAGTGGCTTTGAACACCCAACTAAAGTATATACAAAACCTTTGTGTATAAGAAATATATTTGCCTTTCATTTGTACGAACTCTTCACGATTAACCGCTATTTTGTTGTTTAGACGTACGCATGCGCAGTGGTTCTCCTCCTTACCCTCCCAGATAGAAGATAGGACTTGCTCCTTCAATCTGACGGCAATGTTTTGTTGTAGATATATAGGTGGACAGATAAGTACAGTCAACAAGAATTCTTTACTTATCTTTATTACAGTTGATATTTACACTTCTAGGCTAATTAATTAAGTTTAATTTTAGTTTTTCCCTGGGTATAGAGTGCTCGCACTAAATGCGTGAAATATAAATACTACAAAATAGGTAATAAATTATACAAATTTCTTTGTTTCCTATTGTATAATCAACACTATTTAGTAGTAATTAGTACTATTTGTTTCACGCTTTAAGTGAGAGCACTCTAGTAATAATGGAATATTCATATTATTTTGATCAGATATAATCAATACGATTTCAAAGGATTTTCTAGAGTCAACTAAAACTTGGTGGGATAAAAACGTAACTGAATGAACCAATCATCCATGCGGGCGGAATTCTTCTAAGATCARGCGCAATATGTAAGGAGGATTTTGAGATGAAGTTCGTAATTTATTACAGATATTATCAATGTATTGCCGGTTTTCAGCTTTGATTAGCATTGTTGACCGTAGAGTTCTCGTCTTTCATCTTGTTCTTGGCTTCCATTTGATCAACAACCTTATCAATGTCACCATCGCTGTCACTGTCAAAGTTAACGTCAAATTGCACGTCTTCAACAGGTATACTAAACGAATAACGAGTGTCATATTGTTTTCCAACTTCAAGTAAAGCATTTGTCGGATTCGTGAGTTTCTCCTTGAGTTGTTTACGGACGCGGTAACCCCGGTAGTTCGCTTGGATTCTATTCGCGGCTTCTGACCTGTTACTTTGAATCTTTCGTACCCGGTATCCTCGATAATTTGTCTGAATCTTAAGGGCGGCTTCTGATTGGTTGCGACAAATTTCCCGTACCCTGTAACCACGGTAACCGGACTGAATCTTTATAGCTGCTTCGGATTGACCGCGTCTAACTTTACGCACTTTGTAACCACGGTAACCAGCCTGGATGGTTGTGGCAGCTTCTGACTGTTTTGCTATTTTCTTCCTATCTTGGTAACCGCGATAACCAGATTGAATTGYAACGGCTGCGTCGTCTTTGCTTTGAAAACGAGACGCAGTTTTSCCATTTCTTCCCTCATCATCATTTCCCGACATATTCCCTGCCCTAACTTGGTAACCTCTGAATTTTGCTTGGATTTTCGTGGCAGCTTCGTGCTTTTGGTTGAGCTCTTTACGGCATGTGTAGCCACGGTAACCAGCCTGGATTTTTGAAGCTGCCAGTTCACTGTCATCGTTATAATTTATACGGAGATGTTGATTTTGGTTGCTAGGTACGTTCGTCGTTTCTAGGGTAGGAGGAAGATCTTCGTTGCCAAAGAATGGCTCAAACTTATAAAAGCCGTCAATCTGTGATCCAAGTAGACATTCGTCGTATCCTTTTTCTGAAAAAAGAAAAACAAAATTAGTTATCTTATTTTGTCCGGTGCGGTGTCGCTTTTACCCGCGCCGCCATTCATGTTGAGGACCATTYAAAAGGTTTCTTCAATCATAGGCTCTAGATCTTCAAACATATCACGCGAATCTGAGCGCTACTGATTCAATATTGTGACTTAGAATCGCTAGGTGTTCACGTCTGAGATCTAAAATGATAAGTCAGTTGTATAGGAGAATGAAAAACGAATCTACACTAAAAAAAACGATGAATATTGAATGGCGTATGAATGATTGCTTTGACTAAAATAGTTCAGTTTGTTTGTATTTTACATTCAATTGATTTCAATGCTTTTAATATTAAGTGAATGCACAAGAGCTGGGGGGCTTTTCCGCCGGTTAACTTATCAAATAGCAAAATATTTTTTTTTCACGGTTGTAGCAGATGTTCGATCGAAATAAAGTTCCAAACTCATCGCATCATGGGATCTTGATTATTCAGTTTTATCCAATATGCTGTCCTATTCACTCCAGCTAATAACTATGTTGATTTTGAAGTGAAAAAATAAATGAAAGATATTTAAATATTTAAATAAATCAGTCAAAAGATGCATTACTCCTCAAATAAAAGTACATAGTAAAAAACAGATCTTCAACACGGTTCGCACACCAACCGCAAAGAACTAGCAATAAAAARCCTGCTCTGCCAGTTGGGGGTTCTCATCTTTTGAATTGCAATTATTTTTTAGTTTCACTGTGAAGGTTTGTAAAATAAGCAGCTTAAAAAGGCTGCATTTCAAGTAAATTTAGAATCACAAATATTGAAAAGCCTTGTGTCAATACTCGATATTAGAGATCTTCTCAAATAAAATGACTCCTGGTGCAAATTTGAATACGATAATTAAGCAGAAAACGTTGTTTCCAAGGTAACGAATGCTTAGAAGCACTTCTTTTAAAGAATATAAACATGAACACGCTTCGACGAAAAAAAATATATAGAAAAAAGAATGCAGAAATAAAAGAGGGAACATTCAGAGAGTTCCTACTGACATTCCAAGCTTGATAGAACTATAATTATTAGATTCGATTTACTTCATTGTGTACTTAACATCAAAAAGGAATCGGGTCAGTCTGTATCCGATTCGAGACGATGAATTGAATTTCTACGAGTTGCATATTGCAAGCCTTTTGCATTATGTTATTGTTCAAGAATAGACTTTTTTCATTCAAATCGAAAAAAACGTGATTTATAAAGATATTCGGTTTGGCGTGAGATGCTTAAATGAGATGCGATACTTTCGTGATGATGCTGTCAAGAATAAAATCGCTACTGCTTAAACGGTGACTGGTTTGACTTCAAGAAGTACAAAATGCCTACAAGCCATCAAAACTCTAATACCTTAAAACAACATGAAACTATCAACAAATGCGGTAAAGTAGTTACTGGGGTCATAGGGTGGATTTTAAATGTACGAAAAAAACAACAACATTGAAATCGTAAAGTACGATTTCCCGCTAAAATAAAGCGTAATTACCTTGCCTTGATACGAGTCTTCCTTTCAAATAATCGGCTGCAAATCTTGGGATATTACTTGGTTGTGCACGAAGTATTTCACACGTTAAACACTCGAGTAGGTTGCGAAAACCTTCAGGAACTTTGAGCTTAGTTTCTTTATGCTCCATGGGCTTTTTCAAGTGTAGTCAGTTTCGAGCGACGCAGTTTCTTAGTTAGCTTGTTTTGCGAGTGGTAGTAAGTAGTGTACAATCAATTGACTATTCATTCCAATATGTCAATATAATATGCTCTATTAACATTCAAGGCCTGCTAGTAGCAACATTCCTTGCTCACACAGGGAAACCACAGGAAATGAACAAACAGTTTCACTGGCTAAAAAAAAAGAAAACAAAGACAGCAATCAGTGAAAGCATTGTGCATGGGAAAGAGTACTGTCACATTAAAGTAATAACCTGCCCTCATAAAAAGGAAACGGTGAAATACTATAGCCAATTACTTAAACCTGATGGAAATTGTTTTCTATTTGAAGTATAATAAAAGTCAAACAGGAGGGATTGGAAAAAACAAAAAATTAAAAGAACAGCAATGCGTCAGAAAAAAAGTAAAAAAAAAAATAGAGGAAGAACTGAAGGAACAAACTGGAACTGAATGGAAAATATGCCATAGACATAGACTAAATATCATTCAATATTAAAACAAACAATAAAGATCAGTGGAGCGTCATTTTTCATTTCCAATTGTTTTCTGTCAAAACAACTTGATCGTGTGAGAATAAGCCATTGTTAATCGTGCGCGACGCTGTGCTTATAATCTTGTGTCTATCGGTCATTTTGTGTAGACTGTGGTTGCTTAGATCTTTCATAATTCCTGCTTTGTGGTTATTTCATTACTTGTGGACTCAGGTCTATATAGATCTGATATACCCGTGTTTTGGCTGTTTTCAGCGCATCTTGCATTATTCATCACTATACACCCAGAGAGATCACAGGCTCATATCTTCACGAATCTTTACCCATCTCCCTGTAATTTCGAAAATTTGATATGAGTATCAGAGATATCTCATATCTCGCTTGGATTGTCAATATGACATTAACCCCAAGGTGACTGATCTCAGGGAAATCGGCTAAAAGTAAGAGTGAAGAGTCCACGATAACGGAGTAAAATTGATGTGAGGGGAGGGGAGGGGTGGTCAAATGATGAACGACAGAAAGAGCTTGTGGTCCACACCATTTATCAGTTCATTGGACCAAATCATCGCGATAACATCACAATGTCTTGGATTGTTAGGGTAGTCGGTCGTAGACAGTCAATATAGGGAACCCTAGGCCTTGATTGGCTCGTTCCCTTTAGACTGATTGGTCTGACTGTGGTGCAATGACGTCAATGTAACATCACGTGAATGAACAGTTCGCTGGTCAGACACGTCGAACAGCATAATAACCTCCGCCGACTACAAACGCAGTCATTGTAGTGTCTTGCAATAATGAAATCCAGGATTTTATCTGAATTGCCAGATGAACAACTTGGTCAGACAACTCTGTCAGGAAAGATTTTAACATTCCTTGAAGACAATGTTGGTTTTTTCGAGGCTCAGTTTCTATTAGAAAAGGACCAAAGTCACGACCTTACACCAGTTTACCAAGACCACAACCATATTTATTACTGTATTAATGGTGAGTTGTACGTACGAGATCAGGATCGCTGGCGTAAAGCCGATCATGCCTTAGTGTAGCTAGAGCACGACTATCTAGCGAAACCATATCACAACCGAAATGATCACTGAAATTTCCATTGACCAAACTCATGCTTTGATTGGCTATTATACTGTTGCAGGGTTTCATGCAGCTCATAAAATGGTGTGTAATGTTGGTTTGTTAGAACCTAGGTGGGAAAGTGGTGTTATAACTCGTCTGTTTCGAGTTCTTCCCAGATACTTTGGGGTAGATTCTTTATGCAAACAGTAAAAGGCATTGATGTATGCAGTTTCAAATTCGCTTAGTTGTGCAAGCTTAGATTCAATCAAGCATAAATTTTTATTGTCTTCTTTGTAAAGAATACATTACGTGCTTTCGAGGTTAAGACTGCAATATGATCTCCTAACTGCAGTGTTACAGCAGCCAATATTACATCCGGGAATTAGATAGAAATTCCGGATACCGGCTACAAAGTCCGACTTAAAGTATTAACTCGAATAGACGCCGTCCCCGAATAGACGCCGCATGTGGGTGCAGCGTCAATTTGAGGAAATAATGATACCAGCAATTGGAATTTATTTTCTTTTAGAACATTTTATATTTCGAAGTGATTGTACTTTTTTGCTCTCAGCAGCTGTTAGATTCCGACCACGAGGAGGACATTGATGTTGAAATAGAAGTTTAACTCTGGTTAAAATCATAGACAAAATAGACAAAAATGAAAAAAATAGACAAAATCAACACGACATTTATATATTGAGAATAGCTACTGTTTGTTTGCCAAAAGATAAAATAAAAAGTAGAACTGAATAGACGCCTCCCTCGAATAAACGCCGTACCTGGATCGTGAAAAATGAATTAAACGCCGCGGCGTCTATTCGAGTAAATACGGTAACCGTGGTTTTGTCCGGATGTGACGCAGGCTAGAGTATTGCATCGCAGGTATTGCATGCAGTTCTTGTACTTTTTGTAGCCCCTGAAATCTTCTTAAAAGCCGTTTTATGTTTTCTTTTGTATAAACGGTACCACTACTACTATTTTTTGCAAAGAATAAATAGAATGTTAATAGGACATGGATGATTGACACGAAAATTTACAAAAATTATTCGAACTAAATAAATCATACTTTGTTGCACAAAATGGCGTCGCTGCACAGTTGCCTTTTTGAGACTTATTCATTTTCTAGGAAAAGCTTCAGTGAAAATTGACCAGGGTGACAATCAATTCACGCTTACGGACAACACTCTGCTTGCACTTTCACCATCAACCAAAGCCTCAATCACTGCCTTAGCCTCAACTCGTTTGGTCGTCGTCTCAGTTCCAGGCCTTCCCAACCAGCAGCCGC